GATTGTATTAATTATAACTTGTGTTTATTACAAATGCGTTCATTAAAATTTCTTTGGGATCAGTACAGCCCTTTTTTTGTTGGGAACAGGATGGCTTTCCCGTCGAATTATGAATGAGGATGGATTGTAGCAACCATACGAGGCAGGCTGCTAAAGGGTTTGCGGCCTAAACAAAAATCTTTTGCAGAAGAAAAAAGAAATTAAAAAAAAACAAAAAACAATTTATCTTTCGTGAGATTTCATGATGTGGGATGAGCCAAAGGGAACTTTTCAGCATCTCGTCATAAATATTAAATATATTTTATATATAAAAGATAAACTCTGTTCGTCTGTCTCTAATAGAAAAGGCTTTGATATAAGGATATTTTTCAATAGGCTTACGGTTAAATCACGCCGAAACACCGGTTCTCGTTCGATCACCGAAGTTAAGCATCGTAGAGCCAGGTCAGTACTTAGATGGGGGACCGCTTGGGAACACCTGGTACTGTAAGCCCCCAAAGTCCAACCCTTACCTCACAGTCGGTGGGGGGGTGTAAACAGTAGTGTCAGAGCTATGCCGCCCGGAACTTCGTTCCTGGTAGGACCACCAAAGGCGGACAGGTCTGACACACACGCCTACATTAACAAGGGCTCTGGTGAAAATCCAAGGAGCGTCTGCATCGGTAACCGGCGGCTTCTGGTCGTTCCTGTCTCTGCGTCTGTGGGAATCCCGCGGCAAGCAAGAACGTTATCCGAGTAGGCCTGGGTACCCTACTTCTGTAATTTATCCCAAGAATCTTCTTCTCATAACAGGAAGAAGCCGGCTCAATCCGCCCAGGGTAAATGCCGCATTAGTACAGTATATTTTTCAATAAGATATATTTAATTGGATTTAACTTCTGTAAAAATTTTGCTTCAAAATGCACAGAAGGTACCTTTTCTTTATTAAGACGACTTTCGAATGTACAGGCCGGTAGACATAAATTTATTTAAAAATCAAAGATGTCTAGTTATACACGGGCATCTATCAATGTCAAATTATTGATTTCTTAGAAATTACTTATGTTTCGAGTACAAAAATAAGTTAGCAAATATGGGCTTCAAGGGATCCGAGCAAAAGATGTGGATTTATTTAGGGAAAGGAACTTTGCTTGGCTGTAGAATTCTTCCGTAGATGAGTGCTTAAAAGGCCCACCCGGCTATAGAGGTTTTCCCCTCACAAGAATGACGTAATTTCGTAACTAGTTGAAAAAAGAATTTTCTTTATTAAGACTCTTAAATGCATTGGCCGGTGGACATGTACTAGTTGTAACAGCAAAATTGTCCAAATCGTGTAACAGCAAAATTGTCCATTTGTTAGATTAAGCTTTGAACCGTTGTATTTTAAAAATGATTAAAGATATCTTAATGGAATTTTTCGACGTTTTTATAACACTACTGGACTCTACTTTGAGCAATAAGAATGTATAATTACTGTCTAAGCTTAAACAGAAGTATCGTGATGAAATTGATCACAAACGAAAATGACATGTTCATCATTAATTAATCATAGCTAAGGATCGGAAGCTCATAAAGGATTGAAATAAATTTCAAATATATATATACATATTATTTCAGGATCATTTTGCAACTTATTCAAGATGATCTTAGCCCCCTCTAATCTTCTAACTTATTGTCCTGGAGTAATGAGGTGCCTCACGTGTTTCACGTACGTTTTCATTTCCAAATCTTTTTTCACTACTCTTTGGACTGTCATAGGTGAAACTTCACTCGCACGTGTTGGACTTTTCTTCTTGATCTCTTTAGCTGTAAGATGAACTCCTGATCCACTTTCCCCACTAATGTTCCCTCTTTTATAAACTTATTCACCGTTCCCTTGGCAGTTCTTGAATGGACTTTGAAGATGGAAGCCAGAGTATGAATGTTGGTACCATTACTGGAGACCTGAATGATCTTTTTTCTTCACACTATTCCTCTGTTTAGAAGACATAGTGGATCTGACACAAAACGATTTTAACCTGTTCTCTTTCAAGATGAATAACTCAAAGGGTTTTTCAGTGATTCAGGTGGTGTCATGATGGCTAAACATATTATCTGAAAAGCCGGAAAAAAAGAAATTCAATTAGTTTAGTGGTCTTTTAGATATTAAACATTTTGTGGAGTGGACAATTTTGGATTTACATGATTTGGACAATTTTACTGTTACACCCAGTATTTAAGTTTATAGTTTAAATAGCTATAACGTCTACACAAACATGTATTTTTTTTATTTGTTTTTAATTATTTCACACCAAGCAAGGCGCTAACGTCACTAAGACGCAGGGGTTACTGTGGGTGAAAGAGAATCAGAAGACATTAGTGAGGAGAAAGGACAATAAAAGAACAAGTTTCAGGGAGACAAAAGATGGCGATTACTTTTCATGTAAATAGTTTAAAATTAAGAAGACAACTTTTGGCATTTTAAAAAATATTACAGATTCAGACAAATTTCTACGCATTTTCGGGGACAAATCCTTTTTTTTTTTTCTTTTTTTTTTCAAAATGAATTTATAGTAATTGCTGAATATATAAACAGTTATTTCATTTCATAGTTATGTATATCTATAAATACAGGATGATTGAAAAGTAACTCTCTATTTTATGTATGAGTGGCCATCCAGGAATCCTGACATAACACTTTGTGACTTTTTTCTTTGGGGTTGGTTAAAGGAACAACTCAGCTATACCAAACCAAGACTTTGGAAGAACTTGAAGAGTGAATACAAGAAGTTATGTCTTCCATACCACAAGAGTTCCTGGTGAAATCAGTTGACATAATTCCTGGGAGGCTCTAGAAGCTGGTGCACCTACTGAATTTTAAATAAAACCTCATGCTAAACGCTTTCTTCTCATAGCCATTTCTTGTAAAACTTATAGTTACCAAATAAATAATAATCATTTTAAAATGGAGGTGTTATTTTTCAGTCACCCTGTAGATTCTTTTCCTTCTATGTACATTCTTCTTTGAGCACAATGGCGACCATTTCTTTCTACAGTATCCAATCCTTTATAGCGCTTAGTAAATTTTGTCATTTTATGTTATGCTTTCTAATCCCTGTCCTGTCACCGATTTACATAGGCTCGTTATGTATTGTTTTACGCTGTCCCTCTTGACTTCAATATACCCTGTGAGTATCAACATTTCCAAGCACTCTGTCCTCATTATGTGCCCTAGAAATGTCAACTGTCTCTTCCTGATGTTAACTATAAATGTCCTTTATTCATTTTCCTCTAAAACTTTGTCTTTGCTTATATATCCAATTCATAAACTTTCAGTAAAATCACATTTTTGTTGCTTCAATTTCCTTCTTCATCTGTAAGGAGATTGTCCAGCATTCACTTTCTCTTTTCTTTGTTTCTAACAAATTTTTCCTTTTCTTAATATTTTGCTTAGCTTTTGGAAGGCATATTTGGCTATCCCCATGTGCTTTCGCATTTCGATGTCGTACATTCCGTCCTCTGTTAAAACACTTCCCAGATATTTAAATTGTTGTTCTTGCTTGATATTAGTACCTTCAATTTATAATTTGCATATAGCTGACAAGCAGACATTTTGTCCAGTCCTTTCTTCTCGCTTACCCCCACTACCTTCTGTAGGAGTAGTTTCCTTCCTGTACTGTCAACATTGTATGATGTTACAGAATGAGGAGGCTAGGACAGGATGGTCAACGATCTGTCAGAATACCTAGTGGTCGTGGTATTCTCACAGTGAATGATTGCTTTTGTTTATGTTTTGAATATAACTCCAAAACGGCTCGAAGTCGGCAGGAATATTGAAGCATCGATACTCTTTCCACATGCAGATTCTATAGAAAGGCTAATGAAGTACATGGCGAGATGATACACTAACAAGAAGACATGCTTTCTCCTGAAGTTCTTTTTTCCGCTGCCTCGTAGAATGGATGCTACCACGCCTGTCCCTTTCGTATAATAAAACGAATAAGGAAAAGAAACTGTTTTTCGCTGACACAATCTGGGTCCCGAGGAGCTAGAGTGTCGACATGGAACCGGACAGCCATCTGCATATCTTGCGTTGTTAAAACTGTAGTCATAGATTAGCGAGTTAAAATGCATTAACATGTAAATAATGCGTCTGTATATCCTAGTTGTACTCGGTACGTCAGCTAGTAGATTATAAATGATATAAAATGTAATTCATCATATATAAGAATAAAGTATGTGTTATTTCATTCTTCGTTTGACTTTCACAATTTTACATCGCTCATTATTATTAATATTTACCTCATCATGCCAGAGATATTTTATGGTTGTCTTCAAGAGAACACACAATACAAGGTTGAAGAGGGTTACCGAGGGATATTGTAACGGAGAGAGAAAGTGGGCGGAAATATAGAATAGATATAGGATGATCCTGGACTTAAAGACACGAAGGTTAGAGTCGTCAAGGAAGCATTCCCTCGGGAGTGTGTTCCACAAAGTAACTGTCCTGGGAAGGAAACTGAGTGGAACTTACTTTATTATTAAAGGAGCACGAAGGAAATGTGTATTGCTTGCCACCGTGAACACAGCATGGTGAGGGAGGCGCTAGCTGTGAAGGTGATGAAATGTTAGTTTAGGATGTATTGTATGACATCAATCATTGTTCTCCCCATTTAGCTGTGAGAATTTGGTCAGATGAGAGACCAACTGGAACGCATTGATCATCAAAATACCTGGAGGTGTGCCTAGACACTGTGGTATTATCTCCATATAAACTTACTAAAGAGTTCAGAGTAGTAGTAATAGTGGCAGCAATTCTCTTCAAACCTCCAGTACTTTTGCCGACTGCATATTTACCGTGCTCTGGGTACCTCCAACCCTTCCTCAGATATCGCAATTCTTCCAATATTTAGTCTTTGGGAGAATTAACCATTTTTTTTTTCAGAACAATGATTTTAAATGGCATCAAGAGAATGAATGTTCTCGGACTTAACATAGACAATCGTTTATCAGATCTTATAGAATGGAGCTACAGAATCACAAACAAAGAACTTAATAACAAAATAACAAAAAAATATATCCTTTGAAGATTTCCAACTGAAGCAACAACTAAAAAGGATAGCACATGCAACTAGAACGGAAAGTAATGACAAAATCAAGATAATGATTTTCACATTACTTTAAACTAAAAGTTTAAGAAGGAAAATCCCATCAATTTTAGAAAGAGGGACAACAGTTAGTGAACTTGAGAAGAGTTCATTTTTCCTTCAAAAAAACTGTTTTAAGCGAAAGATTTTATAAATTTCAAACGCCAGTAACGTTAACAAATGCGTTAATGAATACTGTGATTGATTTGTTTTTACGGCTTATCAACCCTTTGCATCTTATTTAATGCCAGAAAATATTTTTTTATATTGTCAGAATCTTTTGAAGATAATTATGAATTTATCGATAAAAGTCCTACTTATTAACCCATAACTGAAGGGAAGAGATGGATTCATGCCTTTCCCAAGCGTATTTGCTCGTAAGTGAATATAGCGAATCCGACTGGAATTGGAACTCAACTCTCCAATTTCCAATTCTGGGCCATTATCCATTACACCACCTGCACATCCAAGCTTGCATCATCTGGTATTCCCAAACAATCGATCATCTAGGTATTAACCAGGCTAGACGTTGATTATTTCCCAGGACAACGTGCCAGAATGAGAAATCGGAGAACCGAGTTCGAATTCCACTCGAGTTCATTGCATTCACTTACGCACAAATACCCTTGGAAAAGGTATTAATCCATCTCTTCTCTCCTACATGCAGCACATCTTCATCAACACATGAGCTGTTCCAAGCTATGCTGTCACCTGCGCACTCCCAATGATATCAGGTATCCACAAGACGTCCTCCGAGGCATCGAGTTTCCTGGAAATAGTCCTAATTGCACCAACCCCAAAAGGAACAAATGGAGTCGCTGTTTGCTATATTTCTCGGATTCGCCCTGCCAGGTCTTTGGTACCTACGTATTTTAGTCTACTCTGACTTCAGTGTGTTCTTATTCCAGTCTAGCGCAAAATCTATTTACGGCTACTATTGTGCAAAAATTTTTATATCAGGATGATTGCTCTCCAAGCGCTTGTCACTCAAGATGGTGGTATTTCACATGAACTTCCCTTGTTCATACTCGTCTACTAACGATATTGAATGCTCGTACCACTTATCTGCATACTCTAGGCCATATTTCTTGTGTAGTTTCCTATGTATTCTGACAGCTATTTTGTCGTTGCGTTGTTTCTACTCATTTTGTGCCAATATTATTATTATTATTATTCACAGATTAAGTGTTTATACCAATAAAAACTGATAGCTTATTTTTTAAAACTTATTTTCATCCACTACCAGGTTCGAAATCAACTCAAAGTAACAGACAATACAAAATGAGGAGGTCCTTCTTAATAGAAGAAAACATGATAAGAAATAAAGTTTATGACAGAGGAAAGATGAAGATTGACTTATGATTTGAAGAGATCAATGAATGATTGATTGATTCGCTTTCAACGGCTAGTCAACCATTTGCAGGTTATTTAAAGCCGGAAAATGTTTTTTAGATTGTAAGAATTTAGGAGAATGGAGATAATAATGGTTCACTGATACAAGTCTTATTAATTAATTGGGAGATTCCTACTAAGTTATTTGTTCATAAGTAAATATAACGAACACAACGGGAATTCGAACCCGGCTCGCCGATTAACAATTCCGAGCCATTATTTATTGAACACCGCACATTCAAGTTTACAGCACCTGGTATTCCCAAGCAGTTACCCATCTAGGTACTGACCAGGATCAAGGTTACTTAACTTCAGTGATTGTACGGGAACCGATGTTACAACGTGATGTGGTCGTAAGTCTAGAAGAGCCTAAGATTAAGGTGTTTGGAAAGCATCCACGTGGGAGACTGTCCTATAAGGTGTCAGTTCTTAGAAAAAGTTTTCTGGATGGAACTTTCTTTGTGTATTTGGAACACAGGGAAAATGATGGCGATTCGAGTTTGTGGAAGTGGCAAGGCTGTGAATGTCGAATTGGTTGAACAAGAGAATGCGGATCATCTGAACTTTTGCCAGTGAAGTAACAATAGGTTAGCGACAGTTCTGTGACATTCCTATGAATAGAGACTGCAAAATGGAAATCAAATCATCCACGTTAAAAGGTTAAGCATTATTATTATCATCATTATTAATCTCTACTCTTTCGAAAAGTTAGTCTTTTCGCTTTCGTAAACATCCTCGTCTGCCATTGTTATGAAAATTAAATTGGCGACTGACATTGTCCACTGAAACAAGATAATTCTAACAGTAAAACACACAAAGCAATACATCATGTATTATACAATAAGATAAATATACATAGTATGGGGACTAACAAAGCTGCTCTGTCAATGAATGACGAGTGTTTCTATATAAGGAAACAGTTAATATTACTATTATCATACCGTGAATTCCGTAGAAGGATCTTGTTAGGCCAAGGGAAAGAAAAATTCTGATTTTAAACCTCTACCTCCTTGTAGTCATATCCAAACCCCAAAAATCTATGGAAGTAAATCCAAACAGATAATCCGGAGGAAAACCTCGAAGGCGGTTGGTTGTCAACACTAATAAACTTTCAGCAACTCCTGCAATCAAACCGGTCCCAAATAATTGTATTTATTTAGATCCTGTCGGTGGCCAGGACAGTGAACAGTGTTCATATACCATCGTCTATAACTGCGTACTGGAAAGATCACTTTTCAAAGATTAGTCTCACCATCAAAGGACTGAATTTTATCCAAACGAAGCGCTACCAATTATACGGCGAAAATATAGAAAGCGTATCTCGCAGAGAGTTCGATTCCATTGAGACCGCAGATCAAAAGTGGCTAAGCTTTTCCGAATTTATAAATCGAAGCATTGTGTGATCATAAATAATCTTGGACTCCTTTTTCTTTCATTTTACTTTTCTTTCCTATTGTCGAAATACGCATAAATAATCATTTGATGATGACTTATGAAAGCGTACATAAGACAATGGATAGTTTATGTTCAAGTTCTCTCCGGAAAACAGGTAAAGTGTCCGCAACGTATAGTTATTAAATAAAAAGAATATTCTTTGATCTTGAAGTAAACCTGCATAAATTAAAATAGTTGCCCAAATACACCCAATACACACGCACGCACACGAATACGTGCAAACACACACACATAGATAGATAGATAGATAGATAGATAGATAGATAGATAGATAGATAAAACCTCAGAGAATTCCAGTAAGATATCTTTAATCATTTCTGCAATACAACGGTCCAGAGCTTAATGAGGCGATTCAAGGAACATCAATACTAGACTAATGGAGTTTTCAGGTAAGACGTTTAGCCATCTTGACACCTTTTGTCGTAAGAATCAATGAAAAACCATTTCATTTATTCAGTTAAAAAGAGAGCAGATTAAAATTGTTTTGTGTCAAACCCAATGTCTTCTGAAGTGAGCAATAGTGAGAGGAAAATCAAGAAGCATCAAAAGATAAATACAGTAAATTATAAAAATTACTTACACACACATAAACACACACACACACACACATATATGTATATATGGACACTATTTTAGTGAGTAGACAAGCACGATTCTTTTTTGGCGAAATTAATGTTATTAATAATATTTTATATTCCTTTTCCCGAGTACTTTCGAACGCCGGAATTATCCAAAACCAGTTACATGAACAAATGCAAAACACAATCCTTGAAAATGAATGTAGTAACATTCGAAAGTACTCAGGAAAAATAATATAAACTAAAAAATAACTATCAACTTTGTTAAATTTATCGATTACATAAAATATTTAATTCGGAAATTTGAAAAAGTTCATAAAAAAATTTGAAAAAAATTATCAATATGGATTTTTTGTATGTTTTTTGTTTCTTTTTGATTTCCTGTCCCGTAAAAATCGACGGAATAATTAAGAAATTAATTAAGAAATTAATTAAGAAATTAATTAAGAAATTAATCCCGGCCGAGGAAAACAGAAAATCCCGCTCGATAAAATAGGAAAGGAACATGATTCATGAAGATCACGGTAGAATTAACAATCAAATAGTAAATGAGGAAGTGTGTGAATTTGACTAAGTGTAACATTGTTTTGTTATAAAAGAGAAACGAATAAGTTAAGGGACTAAAAGATCTTCTAGCAAAAAAATAACCGAAACATAGTTTATTGGAAATGCATTGTATTTCTGAAGTATGATATACTGATAAAGTCCGTTGAAAGTCCGCAAAAAGGAAATAAAAACAAAAACAAGCAAGATGTGGCGGTGACTTTTTCTTGAACCGTGAATTGATGAATCAACAACTGGCGAGGAGATATGTTTTCCTGGTAAAAATTAAGTTCCTTCCTCCAAAATTCTTCAGTGAGGTTTTTGTCTTGGTAACGAAAAAAAAGCGGGGTGTGGAGAAATTCTCTCACACTCTTGACTCTCTTCGTCATTGAGCAGTAGTCGGCAATATTTCCGTGTTGGGGACAATGCATGCGCCATTGCGCTGTGCTATTTATTATTACAAGAAAATTTTTCGCCTGGTGAAAATCAGCTTTTGGATTTCAGTGAGGAATCGAGACGGTATGAATTTGGAGTTCTGGTCTGAAGACAGCCGATACAACCCCCTATGGAAGAACGATTGGAGTCTACCAAACATTAGTTCGATGTCGTGAAACTGGCAAAACAGTACGTAGCTAACTCTAGGTGTATGTGTTGATTCATACGTAAAAATTCCATACGTGAAAATTATTGTGATAGTATATATATATATATATATATATATATATATATATATATATATATATATATATATATATATGCTCAATAAGCATAGTTTAAGCCGAAATTAAGAAGCACCCGAGAGAGGATGAAACTTAATCGTAATTGATCTAGCAAGATGAGCTTGCTAACCATTACATCATGTCGAAGAGCGTATATAATACTAAAAGCAAATCTCACGAAAAATATCATGGAAAATAAAGAAACCAGCATCAGCTTACAACAATAAATCCAAAAACTGTAATCTCTGACTTGAGGCGAAAATAGCTATAATTACCTTCCCAGACAAGTACAAACTATTAAATAAAAGATCAGAACTCAAAACGCAGACATGAAAACAAATTTTTACTACGTTACATAAAAATCGAAAAATGAAAACAAGCAAGAATAAATAAAAATAAATAAATAAATAATAAAATTAAGAAATAAAATAAATTAATCCAAACCAATAAATAAGTAAATAAATTAAGTAAATAATAAACAAATTAACAAACCACGAACGCACGCATAAACACAAGTAAACGTAATTACCAACAACCAACAATAAAATGATTACCGTATTTTCCAGCTTACAAGACGCACTTTTTTCTTAAAAATGCCCTGAAATATACGTGTGCGTCTTACAAGATGAATGTAAGGCAATGCCCAGGCTCAAGTAAGCTTGGACGGTCACCTAATTGGCTTGACTGATAGGAACATGGATTTGCATGTTGAGTCATTACAATATAATGTTAGCTATCTAATTCAGCTTTTTATATGATGTAACCTCAGTACTTAGCTGTTATAATTATTTCCAAGGCTATAAACCTTCCTGGAGCCAAGCCACAAACTTAAACATGCTCTGTTTACTAGCATCAGCGGGAGCCTTTCTGCTCTTGACTAGTATGCCATTGCCATACAAACAAAATCGGACGAGTGATTAATGTAAACAATACGTGGTGCCAGTAGGTGAGGGACGCATGGTGAATGTATTGTCGTAATAGAATAATTTTTTTTTTTTTAGAAATGTCTTTCTAATATTAGGGAGCGTCTTCCAAGCCACAGCGTCTTGTAAGCCGGAAAATACGGTAATAATAAATAAATAAATTAACAAACAGCACGATAACTAGTCTCAAAATTAGACCCACATCAGGATCTACAATTATTTCCACTCAATATACCCTAGAATAATTCGAAACTTAACCGTTACCGTCCACCAAAATAACCATTAGAACAATATGATAGACTACCCACAATACATCACTGATCTCTATAGATAATTAATCAAGCAAAAACACAACGCATATGGTCTGATGATTGCATTCAAACATGAAACAGACTGTCGCCTCTGGCTGTTGATTTCAATGTCCACTTTTATATTTACATATGCTCTCTCCCTGATATTGAACACTGTAACCCATAAATATAGCATACCTTAAAACTATATTTTATCATATATATATATATATATATATATATGTGTGTGTGTGTATATATATAATTATTTATTTAGAAAATTTATAACATAAACATGTTATAAAATCACTACAAAAATAGTCATTTTGTTTCAACACTCCCGCTGTCATATCAAGTGATGATGTTGAATGCAAAACAAATGGTTTTAAAAGTTTCAAATTAGTTAACGATCTTTCACAAGCGGAAATATATATATGGCTCAAACACTAATATACCATAGTTATAATTTATTACATTGCAGTCGTAATCACGATCCAATTCATCATCAGACCTACAAATAAATAGTTAGGGACGTATTTACCGTTCCTGCATTGGATTACACATTTACCTCCGAGTTCAACCCCACCTGTGCATCGATATCATTATCGAAAACGATAAAAATAACGATATAATATATTATTATAATAGTTACATAAAAATATATTCCTCATTTCTAATGATTAAAAGGTCCTCTTGATTTTATATTAATCTTTTTTAGAATTTAACTTTAAACACTATACATTCCTCATCTCGAACATGAAAAAAGAAGAGATGCGTTTCCCTTTTTTTCACATGAGTTCAGTCCTGTTCATTAATGCTTCTCAAACTGCTGCCAACATTAACAGGGCAGGGGGGGTGAAGCAACCACTTGTGACCGGACAGTACGGCACTGATTACCGCATTGGAGATACGAGTCTTCAAGATCAAGGACATCCCTCTGAAATTGCAACAGAAACATTTGAGGTAAACCGACATGAGAACATCAAGGGACTCGTGCAAAACGGAAGACAGTAATAGAAGCACCCAAACCTCAAGGCAAGTTTCCTTCACGTGTCCCCGTTAGGGACGTCTTTGCCGTTCTCGCAGTGGATTCCACAGTCACCTTCGAGTTCACTCCGCTGCACATCGATGTGATTGTCGAAGTCGACAAAACCATCGATATATAATATATTATTATAATAGTTTCTCAAATATATATTCCTCATTTCTAATGATTAAAGTGTCCTCTTAAATTAATCTCTTTCAGAATTTAATTTTAACACTGTACACCCCTCATCTTGAACATGAAAAAAGAAGAGATGCGTTTACATTTTTTTACATGAGTTCAAGCCTGGTTATAATGCTTCTTAAACTGCTGTCAACATTAACAGAGCATGGAGTGAAAGATATACTTTTAATCGGGCAGTACGTCGTTGGTTTCTGAAGTTCCGCGGCATGGTTACGAATCTTAATGATCAAGGTGGTAGAGGATGTCGATCTGCAATTGACAATCAACATCTGAAAACACTAGTCGAACACGAGCTACGTCAAAGTGTTAGAGAAACTTTTCAGATAATGGGTGTTAGCATTTCAACAATATCTCACCGTGATGATGAAACATCCAAACACGCTCCAAAACCGAAATTGTACCAACAATTGGTTACGGTAGCTTTGGAAAAGCATCACTGCCGAAATTTCTTGCGAGCAATTGGATGAAATGCACATTTCATGGCTAACAGACGAGGTCCAAATTCTGCTTCATGACAATGCTCGGTTACATGTTCCCAGGATGAAACTGCAGAAGCTCACCGTCTTGCGAGACGAGATTTTGCCACATCCACCATATTCCCCTGATCTCTAGCCCATTGACTACCACGTTTTCAAGCATCTTGACAATTTTTAAGCCAAAAGATATTCCGTTGCAAAGAATATACAGAAGCTGCATTCAAAGATTTCTTGGTGTCCAAACATTTAGAGTTTTATAACTCGATGGCAGAAATGTATAGATGTTCATGGTCACTTTTATAAATGATTTAAACACATTTTAAATACATTAAATCAGAAATAAATTCTAAAATCGGGTATTATTTTCTGAACAACTTAATATTAAACTTACTTATCTCTGTCCATAGTACGGGTTATTCAGCTAATATGTCAATTCGTGTTTTCTGGTCTATATTACCTGTTTCCCTCGGATGAGGAAAATTGCCAAAAATCAGATCTAGAATCGGTTGCGCATCCTTGATCTAACTTGGCAGCCAAATAGAAAACACGTTACTGTATATCTGGGAATAGATACTGTCTTATGAGCTTATTCAGCAGCCGGCAGTGGGAAACAACCGAATGAGTTTGTACATTTTTGGTGAGTGGATGGCTTTCTGGGGGTTGTAAAACATCACATTACGCAAATCTGTCAGTTCCGGTCCTACAGCCCAGTTTGTGACTTCTGACTTTTCCAAACTCCAAACTCAATATCGAAACCCAGTCTACAATATGAAGAAGAACGTAACAAGGAGCCTGATAGCTATCTCGAAAGTGGAAAGGGTGCTGTGGTGCGTACGTGAGATACTTTTGCTGAGGATTAAAGTGTAATTACTCTAGATAGGCATTATTTTTTAAATATTGGCCGTATATATACTGTGGAGGGTATCAAGAGTATAAAACAGTTGTCTGACTCATAGCGCGCAAAGATCCTTTACAAATACGGAGAGAAACAGTAGGTCATAAGAGGAATGTGAAAAAGTGGCACGTTTGACCGAGAAAACCATCATCGACGAATAGACAAACAGCCGAATGAAATCTGGTAGCCAACAATCTATTCAAGCGAATAACAATGAGTTATTTACAATATTTACATTGTTTGGACTCTGCTGTCCTCATCTTCGTTGATATATTCACGATATTTCGGCCGTTGTACGCTCCGGCCTTCTTCAGGGGATTGAAATTTTGAACTGAACCCTTTATTTTGTCCACTGGGATAGATTTTTCTAATTCCACGTGCCATGACTCTTCCAGGTGTCTCAGTATCAGTTATCGCCCTTTTCACTCAACTCTCCAATTTTTGTTCACATCAGCTACAGGCAGGTATTGAACTCACAAGTCTTAAGGTCAAGTCACTGGATTCAACCAACGCATTTATCCATTGTGCCATGTGAGTAAATATAGCAACAAAGATGAGGACGACAGCCCGAACAATGTAAATAATTACAATAATTACAGTACGAACAGTGTAAATGATTATAATGCCTCATCTCAGAAATATAGACAGATCCCGAAGAAGGCCGGAGCGTACAATGGCCGAAACGTCGTGAATGTGACAACGAAGATGAGGACAACAGTCCGAACTGTAAACAGTGTAAATAATTACAACACCTCATCTCAGAAATACAGACAAATACCAGAGAAGGCCGGAGCGTACAACGGCCGAAACATCATGAATGTGACAACGAAGATGAGGGTATGTATATAGTGTAAATAATTATCTTAATTCATCTCATAAATATTGACAGATAAGAATGAGTTAGTATTTTCGGAATTTTCTCAGTGTATTGGTAGAATGAAGAATGTGATATTTTCAAGGTGTTCATAGTAATTGTTTCTCACTTATTATGAAAGTGTAGAGGTTTATGCAATGGTATGGAAGATTCTATATTTAGTCCTTCATTACAGCGGGATATTTGCAAAAGGGGTTTTTTTTTGCCTTGACTGCTACTACCAAAAATGCAAGTAGAGGAAATAGGCGCTGTGATTTACAGAAACAAAGCAGTAGGAACAGATGGAATTGCAGCAGAGATACTGGCAGTCTAAGATGATTTGGACATTGACAAGATTACAGCCATAATAATGAAATATACAACAGTGGTTTTATACTGGAAGACCTAAGTAGATCCATTTTCATAGCTAAGTGTATAAGAATGTGAACTCCATCGGGAAAACAAACTAATGAGCCATACAATAAATCTTATCATCTGAATTCTGATGAATAAGACCCGCAGCAGAATTAAACCGGAAATAAGACAAGAACAGTGCGGGTTTGTTAAAGACACTGGAACAATACAATATTGATGCTCAGAATGATATCAGGAAGAATAATACAACGTGTATCCACAGATAGATAGATAGATAGATAGATAGATAGATAGATAGAAAGAAAGAAATAGACAGCGACAGATAGATAGATAGATAGATAGATAGATAGATAGATAGATATTAACAGACTGAGATAAATAGATATTAACAGACTGAGATAGATAGATAGATAGATAGATAGATAGATAGATAGATAGATAATAACAGACTTGAGAGATAGATAGATATGAACAGGCTGAGCTAGCTAGCTAGATAGATAGATATTAAAAGAATTAGATAGATATTAACAGACTGAGATAGATAGATAGATAGATAGATAGATAGATAGATAGATAGATATTGCTGTTGGACGATTTGGACAATTTTGTTGTTACACCCGGTATATTATGTTCAATTTAACACCACTCTCTTTCTTTCCTTTTCCACTCTCACCTTATACATACTTTTAACCTTACCGCCTAATGTTTTTATAACATTGTTTTCCTAAGACAATTACAATGTCATACATCGTACAATGAAGCTAATGAACCATACAACAAAATTTATCATCCGAATTCTGATGAACAAGGCGCGCTGCAGAATAAAACCGGAAATAGGATAAGAACAGTGAGGGTTCGTTAAAGACACTGGAACAAGGAATGCAATATTTATGCTCAGAATGATGTCAGGAAGAATAATACAAATGCTTAAGGATGTGTACTTGGGTTTTATAGATTATGCAAAAGTGTTTGATAAGATCTAATGAAACTGCTCGTTAACCATGACATATTTGGGAAGGGTATTAGAATAATCCAAAACCTACACTGGCAGCAAACCACCCGCATACGGATAGATACGGGTTAAGTTGTTTTCGTTCCACTGTTCATATCTAGGAATATCATCTAGTCCTTATTTTTATTTAGTACTGCCCGGTGACTGCCCATCCGTTTTCACTTATTTCTACCCCCGTAGAATGAATAAACTCTTCAGTTCAGAATCCCCTATGGGTTACGTAGATTGATATACAGCTGAAGAAACCTGGAACGCTCTACGGTCGAAACGTTATGATAACAAGAAAAGAGAACAATTGTCTGAATATAAATGGGGTAAAATAATACAATAAGAGTTTGTACTTAGTTTCGACCTTTCAACTTCATGTTCGACTTCAGAGATTCATGGATGTCCGATCCCAGCAAATGCTGTTAAAAGAGGAAGAGCTTCGTTTTAGAATTTTGGGATCGGGTCAGCTGATTAAAGATTCTTCTTCCGTTTCTTTGGGGTTTTGAGTGATAAGAAAAAGGTTTATGTTGGTGTTTATTTTATTTTTTGTAACTTTTTTTTAATCAAATTTACCCCCAAATAAGTGGCAATAAAGACGCTAGGACGCAAGAGGGTTACTAAATGTTAGATAATATGAGAAAAAAAAACTACTATTAAAGAGATAGGACAATAAAAGAATAAGAATTAAGAAGACAGAAGATAACGACTGACATTGCATTTAACCTTTCGAAGTTGAAAGTTGACAGGAAAGCATGAATCCGGAAGAGAGTGCCACAAGTGAGAAGTGCGATAGAAGATAGCTAATTCAACTATAAATTAATGAGACCTAGTTGCTAATCTAGTACTGTGCTTAAATTTAAAAAAAAGTAGGTACCCTAGTGATGCGTTCATCCGAACACTGACCATAAAATTATTTATAGAAAAGACACAGTGAGGCAACCTTGCGGCGGTGGGAAACTAAAGCCGATATGCCTGGTCAGGACTAATAATATGGCTGTTTCTTTGGATTTTATCAAGAAACTCTAAATATTTAGCAGGAGCACCGGACCATATATGACAGCAATATGCTAAGCATGGACGAATGGTAGACATATAGATATATAATGTTTGTGTTTTACGGGTTATCAACCATTTGCAGGTTATTTAAAACCAGAAAATATTTTTCTTGCTAAAAATTTTTTGGAGATAATAGTGATATACTGATACAATTCTTACTAATTAACCCATAGGTGGGTACATAATAGTTGGATTCATGTCTTTCCCAGGGGTATTTGGTAGAAGTTAGCGAGTGAAAGTTATGAGGATATGTAGAATAAATGACGGTTGGCCCTAGACTTAATGAGTCAAGATTGTAGTGACCGAGGAAGCATCCTCGTGGGAGTCTGTTCCACAAAGTAGTCGTTATTGGGAAAAGGCTGTCTCAGTGGAAATTCCTTTTTGCCAATGAAATAATACGGAGGAAATGAGGCTGATTCAACCCTGTATACGTGGCATGTCAGCGTTTCAGCAGTAAAGGTCTGATCAAGTAGAACAAGGGGATGTCATCATGTGTTCACTTGCCATGGAAATTCGTGTAGAGTAGGGGGTCGGTTCATTTTAAAATTTATTAAAATTAAGAAAATTAAAAGAAAAAACAGTTTTCCAATTAGACAGTATCCCAGGTTAGCCGAACGATATTTATACTAGTTCATAAATACCTTACGAAAGGACTGAAGTACAGCGCTCGTTTCGAGAAATGCCAAATGATGACGACTCCAAGAAAACCTGCTCTTTGGAACACACATCTTTGGACAGGCTTCATCTCCAATTCGTTCAAGGCTGCACGACTGACAAGTCGGTTTTTATTTACTTCTGATTGGATGGTCGTGGCGAGCATCGGATGGGAAGCGGATAGGGGTTTGGTTGGAACCGGTCGGGAATGCGAGGGAACAGACAAAATTGGCGGGAAAGAGAAGATTTCATGTGAGTCGGCGCTTAACACAATCTGACAGCCATTTTGTTGTTTGCTTCGTGCCGCCATTAATTCTGGAGACCTGTCGCTTCTGATTTACGTTCACCGAGAAACGGACCTGTGTATATATGCTTTTACAGACAGTAGTGGGATTGGGAAAATTGAACAAACATATTCACTTGATTTATGCTGTGTTGTATAAATGCATGTAAGATGAGTATGTATATGAATCGTTCTAACAGATGCCGAATATATATAGATATTGTAGCGTATCGCATTTCAATTGTATATTGACAATATATATATATATATATATATATATATATATATATATATATAGAAGATAGATAGATCACCAACACACTCATATATATGCAAATATTGCATGACGAAAAATATTTTTGTATTTTTATTTATCTCATTCTCTCTCGCTTTTTAGCTTTATATATATATATATATATATATATATGTGTGTGTGTGTGTGTGTGTGCGTGCGTGTGTGTGCGTGTATGTGTGTGTGTATATGTACGTGTGTGTGTGTGTGTGTGTGTGTGTGTGTGTGTGTGTGTGTGTGTGTGTGTGTTGAATAAGTTATAATAATGTTAAATACTTGTCGGTGTCCACCCCGTGTTTTGTAATCACTTATAGGGACTTCCGATAAGAATTATATTATTATAAATTATTCATTAATGATTGTTCTCATCAAATTATTAATAACATTCTGCTCACAGTATTAATAGATAAAATTATTATTCTATTTTATTATTATTATATATATATATATATATATATATATATATATATATATATAATATATATATGTGTGCGTGCGTGTGCATACATATGTGTGTGTGCGCATGTGTCTGTGTCAATGTTTTAAATTTTATTCAAATTGGTTTTCTCATATTAACCATACACATTTTATTCTGATAATTTATCATACACACACACACACACACACACACATATATATATATATATATATATATATATATATATATATATATATATATATATATATATATATATATATGCGTGTGAGTGCATGTGTGTGTGAGAGAGAGAGAGAGAGTAATCAAGACCAAACACCCAGGAAATTTGACGAAAGGGGTCTTGACTCATGAGGAAACTGCTCCAGCAAACAAGTCCTTGGTTTTAGTGGCTGATGTGTGTGACTGTGGCTTTCAACTGGATTATCACTCTCCCTATTCTCCTGATTTGATTATCATCTGTTCTCCAACATAAAAAAAAACATTTGGTTAGGAACCAGTATTGCAGTGATGATGATTTCATTTCTGCTGCTGATGACTTTTTTTAACAACAGAATAAACCATTTTTTTGAACAGTCAGATGTCAGTTTAGCTGGAATGAAATAATGCAGTTTTTAATAAGAAGAGTTGAAATTAATGCAAGCAAGATTTCACAGTTATGGCATCACTCCATCATTGTCAGGCTACGAAATTTTCAGCCAAGCCTCTTAGCTATTACTGTGATGTTTGTTTTATTTTTAACCAACGTAAATGGTCTCTATTTAAGTCCAGATAAAGGCTAGGTTTTCCAATGCTAACTTTAAAAGCTGGCTGCCTTCCACAAATATAACACTGATGCAACACACCAATTGTGAGATTCAATGTCTGCATTTTTAAAATTTATTTCCAGTCAGGTGGGTGCATTTTATCAAGTTCCATAAAACGTCTTCCCTTAATTTTTTCAGATGTTTTATGTACAACTCTAGATCACAGCCTGAAATTATGCAAATATTAATTTTTTGTCCCAAAAGTTTAATCCTTCCCAAGACGTTTACCGACTTCCGATACCCAGGTCTTCAACCACCATCTTTATAACCCCATCTAACCCCAGGATGCCATTTTGGGGATATTTCGTTTTAAGGATATTTCGTGTAATATAAACACTTGATCGATCATAAAAACAGTCGGCGATATTAAAATATTATACAAAACGTTACTGGCTAGTGATGTTTTGCTTCGTGTAGTGGTTCTCAAACTTGTTTGTCGAATGAACCCTTTTCACCATAATTCAGGATGTCATCCCCACCCCTTTCCAACATTGTCTGACTCTTCATTCTTTTCCATATTAGTACATATATATTTATAGGGATTATTTTTATAGAGGAATTTCACAAATCTAATAGCAATAGAAAATGTTGATGGATTTTAAAACTTGATTAAATGTCCAGTCATTTGTTTTCATTCGTCGTCGTCGTCTTTATCTCGTCTCCAAGAATTTAATTTCTTCTTTACTGATTTCTCCCTTTATGATGATAGTGTTGATGATTACATTCACCGCCAGCATGCAGTTTCAGGACTAAAAGCTTCCAGTTTTACCAAAACATGTTCCCGTCATCCATTCCTTCTTGCCGTTTGGCTTTGCAAGAGTTTGTTGAAGGTGAAAGAAAATCAGTCAGAAGAAAGTGCCGATGGTGTGAATTTAAGGTGGACCTCAACTTGCGAAGAAGGGACCCGCACACTTGATTTTATGACCTTCCTCTACGGCATATATGCAATGAGATAAACTGCAACGGACTGCCGCTGATTCTCTTTTAATTTCGAGTGGCACCTTCTGTAACAAGTCCGTGATGGGTAATCTTCTTCATCCGCTGGTTCAACGGTTGTGATGAGGTAATCACCATCCGCTTGTTCCGCCGGTGGGGTCTTTGGGGTTGGTCGTGCTTAAAGTGGATCCTCGTCTCCAAAAGCATTGTTTCGTGAATTTGGTGATATGGTAATTGTGAGTTCAATCCCTAGGCCGGTCATTGTGTAATTAGACTCGATGAAAAAGGGGTGAGCAACAGCTGAACAGTACTAAATAAGACCTAGACGAGATATCCGTAGACATGATCAACGGAACGTGAACAGTCTACTCATAGGTTAAATAAAGTGTTCAGTTACAAATTCCCAGAAGGTTACCAGTATCGACAAATGAAGATAATGGTCAGCATTTAAATAGCTTCAATAAGAAATAATCCCAACTTTAAAAATAAACTATTTGATTTTAATAAAATTTTCGGGACTAGTTAAATAAAGAATTAATTTTAAAAAATGAGTTTTTATTACAAATTTTAGATTTAAAAAAGACAAATGGGGTACGCAGCATTAGTAATGAACGAAAGAGTGTGATGATAACATCAAAGATGTTGTGGTGATTCTACGAACTCGTCCAATACCATAAAAGGTTCCATAGTATGAGGTTAGTAGGCGTCAAATCGCAGTCTGCCCCAGGCTCGCGACAAGACAGGGCCTCTCTCTTCGGGCAGAGACTCGGCTGAGAAAAACAAAACAGTACTGTACGCGAGACCGCTTTGGCGGGGGCTTCGTAAATTTTGACCATTGACCCGGATAGAAACGCTCCGGTTCCCCACTGTAAACTACTGATACTGAGGGAAAAATCTTCTGCCTATTCCGATATGAATCGAAAGAGATATGATCTTCCAAGAGTCTCTCACGTATGACACTTGACTGACTGATGGTGCTTATCTCTCTCCCTGACATCAGCACTATCCTTCCTACGTGTAATGGATAACGGCTCGAAATGAGAAATCGTAGAACTGAGTTCGAATTCCAGTCGGTTTTGTTAAATTCACTTATGTGCAAATATTCTTGGGAAAGGTATGAATCCATATCTTCTCTCCCAACTGTGGATTGAATAGCAGGACAGATTGGGTCCTATAGCCATGACTGGCGATCAGTCTATTGTAGAAAGAAACGGCACCTACTGATACTGAAGGAAAAATTCTCTGCCTCGTCAGTCATGAATCGAAAGTGACATGATTTTTCCCAGAAAACAGTTTTGATAAAATTCTCGCCGGAAACCTCAAAAATGGTCCAAATCAAAAGGATTAATCAAAAAAAAAAAAGTAAACAAAAGGATTTTCGTTGTTTTTTTTAACCAAACCTGCATAATGTAAATATAGCAGCCCTATATATATATATATATATATATATATATATATATATATATATATATATAAGTAAACATGGTAGTCAACACTTAGAGATGTTAGACTGCTTCATGCTGAACGCAATCGTCAGGCAACATGCGTTGTGTTTGTTTCCCGACTAGTTACAAAAACGGTTCAGTGATGCATTGTGGGTAGTCTGTTGCATTGTGGTTATTGGTGGTAGTGATTTGTTAATAATTTACTTTATTTATTTATTTGGATTAATTTATTTTATTTGTTTTTGTTTATTTATTTTTAATTTTTATTTATTCTTTTCATTTTTTGATTTTTAAGTAACGTAGTAAAAATTTGTTTTCGTGTCTGCATTCTGAGATCAGTTCTGATCATTTATTTAGTAGTTTGTTTTGGTCTGTGAAGGTAATTATAGCTAATTTTTCCTGCAGGCAGAGTTTTCAGTTTTTATGATTGATTGTTGTAGGCTGGTGTTCTTTTCCTTAATCTCCATGATATTTTTGGTGTGATTTAATTTTTGTTTTTAATTTCACAGATATACTTAGAAAGCATTGTACTGTTCGCGTATTTACTATTTGTGAAAGATGTATTAACAACATTTACCAGCCTGAATATCTGAGAAATATTTCCGACGTGGTTTTCCCTCTATCGTTCATATCTGCTCGTAGCGTACATTAACGTAAACAAATGACGTCTTATATTATCAAATGGATTAAGTCCGACAATTATTTTAATACGATTTATTATAGAAAGTGCATTTACTTAAATAATTGTGTCTATATAAATAACATATAACAATACATATATGTTACAGTTCCGTATAGGATACAGGTTCGATTCCTGGACGAGGACGCTTGTTTTCTATGAAATTTCTCGAACATTCTGGCATGTAATGTTGTTAATACTGTTTATTATAAACAGAGCATTTAAATATTTGTGTTTATATAAATAACGTATAACAATAAATATATAAAAATAATTGTTGTTTCAGTATTTCATTATATATATTATATATTTATTTATATATATATATATATATATATATATATATATAGTGAACATTGACTAAATTGAACACTTTGAGGCGACAGGCTGTTTCATGCTAGATGCAATCATCAGGCCACGAGTCGGCCTGACG